AGCAACATTTAGTTCACAGAATGATGCTGGAATCAACAGGATTTCCTAAACAACTGGAATGCTTGACTTTTTGGGGGGTCAAATATCATATCAAGAAGCAAGACACTGTTACACATACAGGTATGCCGCATTTAACGTCATCCTGGTTAACACTGTTTCATTATTAAGTCGCTCATCTATTAGAGGACACACTTGTTTAAAGTTGTGCAGTGTTTGCTTATAATGTTGTTTGGCCATTGCCCGCTAGTAGGTAACTAATGTGATGTAATTGGATTCGCTTAACATCGTTTTGCTTGAAGTTGCATTGTTCAAGAACGTAACTACGATGTTAAGCAAGGAGTAGCTATACTAGTCTATAATATTATTCTTAGGACAACTTTTCCACTTGGCATGCCCAATGCATAATCACTAAACTCTATGCAATTCCCTATATGAGCTATAGCATGCAAGTGACTTCATCAAGGTGGCTTGTTCATAGCTCTGCCAAACTACATTTAAATTCCTGTGCAGAAGAAGGGAAGGGCCTGTGCAAGGGGTAATGGAGCCAGAATGGCTGGGTGCTGGGCACTTGGAACTGCAGGAGTGAGTAGGTGCTACGATGGGAGTTGGGATTTTAGGAGAATGGGAGAGAGTGGCTGGATCCTAGTCCCATGGAGGAGCTGGGTGCAGTTGGCTGTGCAGAAACAGGACCGAGGCACTCATCTGCAGGGGGCAACACCGCTGCTCTGGCTTTCTTGGGAATAAGTAGGAGCCCCAGAGAGACAGGAGGAACCATGGTGGCCCCAAGCAGCTGACAGTGTAACTGCAGTTTAGGCTTGAAACTCACCAAAGCTGCTGGGTGAGTGGCACTTGGCAGCCCTACCAGGACTTTCTCCAGAGGTTCAGATTTGGCTTTCTGCTATGCTGGGCTTCCCCTCTCAGCTCCTGAATTGCTAGGTTTCTGTGTGTACCAGCATGCAATCAAATGCTTAATTTGCACATGCAACTTAGGCAATTAAGCATGCAAATGGACACTTCAATGAATAATTGGTCATTTCCATATGCAGTTATTTGATTGGCGTGCATATTGGTGATAATTGGACAAGCAAATTAGACATATAAATGGATATCAACTTTATAGGGTGCACAAGATAAATTTCCTCAGTGAATTCTTAGCAGGCTCAGGACTCAACGATTTCTGCTAGCAACAGAAACAAAGGAGAAATTATGCCATCCCAACCAGCAAATGGGAGACATGAGCTACTGCAGCCTCAGCGAGGGATGAAAGCCCTGCATGATGCCACTTCTCTCTTCTTTCCAACCTGCAGCAACAGAACACAAATTATTGTTGCTGTTGCCAGAATTATTTTAACTTTTTACACTGAGATATCATGAAAATAACCTCCTTCTACCATCAGGGCCAGCCCATCCTATCCTGCAAAACCTGTGGCCGCACAGGGTGCTTGTAGCCAAGTGGTCCCCTGCGTCCGACTGCTGACCATCCCCCCCACCCTTGATGCTGCCACCGGCTTCAGCTTCATGTCTGGCCACTTGCCATCCCCACCGCTGCTACTGTCAGCTTCTTCAGCCACTCGCCACCCCCCACTCCCCTGCCGCTGCTGATGCTGGCTTCTTCACATCAGGGGGCCCCAAAACTATCTTTCAAGGGGTCCCAAAAAATTGTGTGTCAGACCTACCACGAAGAAGAATCTGACACAGAAACTGACACCCCCCCAGAAAAAGGGCTATAGAGAGCAGGCCCTTGCTATGCTATTAGGAGGTGAGTGGAGGAGCTGCTCTTCTGTAAGCAGGGGGAACATGCCTGTGAAGACCACACACCTCCCTCCATTTCGTAGGACAGGGTCCTAGACTGCAGGGGCAGAACAGGCACCAGCCGGCTGCCATTCACAGCACAGCTTTCAGCTCTTAGGTTCATTACTAACAAAAAAGCTTCCTTTGCCACAGAGTCATAGTGGCTTGTGACTTTTTTAGACCACTAAATCAAGTGAATTCAAATTTCTAAAAACTAGGAAATCAGGACTAAAACTCCTAGAAACAAGGACATTCAATAAGTTAAGGTATACAGCACCCCACACAACACAATCCTAACTCTGATACAGTTCATACATAAGCTTTGGGAAAAGTCCTGTAAGGAGACTGCCATAATAGACACCAAGAAGAACTAAGATAATGATACTTTTGTGTTGTGTTCTTGAATTGCAGCACTTGCCTGGATGCACTCTAGCAGTCATTCAGTCTGTGAAATGCAGCTGTATTGAATGTTAGAAACTATTTGGAGCAGATTGACAGAGCTGTTGAGCCTGAAAGATGTGCAGTGCACTGTGATACCACAAATGGCCAAGATTTCTCCTGCTCTGCAGTCGCATGCTTTGGGGACTGTCAGCTGTCTAGTGACTATGTTCTCTAGGGCATGGTGAGGGGCAAGTCAAATGCTTCCCGACTCTCACAATTTTTTCACAAGCCACCAGATTTCAGTGAGCCCAGGAACCAGACTGAAAACCACGTGAAAAGTCCCAGCTCTCTACCACGGACGGCCTTTGATTAGCTGTCTCTCCTCTTTCCCTCCCTCCGAGAACAGCAGCCATTCGGGGCTGCTTAGGAAGAAGACAATAGGCAGCCCAAGTCTCTTCTCACAGAAAGGACCAGAAGGAGTCCAGCAGCAGCTTACCTCCGTCTGCCTTCCTGTGAGCAAAGGGACTGATCCTTTTCCCTCAGTGGCTCAGGAGGGGTGAAGAGCCCATGGTAATTCCTCCGTCAGAAAGGGCCAAAGGCTGCCAGCCTGGAAGAAAAACGTGAAGAGTCCTATTCCCTATGTGATCTGCAGTGTCGCTAAGAGAAGAGGGCTAGTATACACATTGCTCGCAGGAAATGAGAGTTTAAGATCCTGAGGGAGGTAGTCTGTTCATTGTGTTTTTGTTTTCTAGTCTTCAGAAATGAATATGAGAACTCAGTGATAGTGGTGGTCTTTTGTTGACAAATGTCATTTTTTTTAAACAGAAAAAGATTTAATGTCATTTTGTAGCAAGTGGTTTCATGCGGCCTTGCAGGCGTATCTGAGGATAAGAAAAGGAGGTACTTGTAGGGAGCCATCTTTGTAGTTGACATTCCTCATCCTAGGAGCTTCGAAGCTCTGCACCAGAGCTTCAAAGCTCCTAGGATGAGGAAGAGGCCTTTTATTCATCCCCACTCCGACCAGTGCCAGAAGGCGGCAGGGTGGGGCTTTACTCTGTCCACTGTAAATTATTAGGATATATGGCATTTACCTGCCCCAGACAGCATGAGGCCTAGTCTGAATTGGGGTTTGATCTACTGTTCTTTCCCTTTATGCTGCCTAGGTATATGGAGAGTGCATTTTTTCTCCCACTGGGTCTCTGGAATAATCCACAGCTTCACCATCAAAGGGCAAAAGGTAATCCTTACAATTTAGTCAAGACAGACACAGAAAAATTGGGGCTTTTTTGGAAATCAGGCAGCCATTTTGGAAATGAGAGGAGGCAGCTATGGAAAGTGGCATATAAAATAAGGTTCAAGTTACCTAGTTTGCTAGTTGCTTTAATTTCTTTCTTCCAGGTTCACAAAACATAACAAACACCGAACGTAGCCTTCCCTTACTCTGATTCTTCCCCGTATATGTTTAAAACTTTTGATTTCAAAATGATTGTTGCCTTCCTCTAAAACTTTTCAACTGCCGGTGTTTTGTTGTACTGACAGCGAACGACGGTGGATGTTTTCTGAGCGGTCACATTCTCTATTTGCTTTCTGCTGTCCCACAAAAGAAAGGAAAACAATATTGGTATGTACCTTTTGTAGACCCTGATCCAGCAACACTTATAAGAACATGTTGGATTCCCAAGTATGTAGATATGCCATTGAAGTAATTAAGATTTTTACTTAAGTGGTTTTCTAATATTGTGCTGGATTGAGTTTCAGTAAGTAACTTGGCTGGAAATGAATGATTCCAACTTCAGACAACTTGTCACTTGACACCATTCTGCCAAAAATGTGTATGCAATGCCTACAGCAAATTTTTCTAAGCCAAAAAATCCAGACTGGCTCTGTGGCTCTTTTAATCGTAGCTATCATGTACATAACACATTAATTACTGTGACAAATATAACTAAGTAATGTGAGGATCACAATGCTGCAAAGCAACAAAGACACCATAGTGAGAAGAGATATGTTAAGATTATTCAGGGTCAAAATCAAATAAAAGGAAAAAAACATATTCAAACCATATTAAGGGTGACTGTAATATGGGTGTCATTTTGAACCAAAAATGGTCTGTCTCTAACACCCTAATGGTTTTAGTGGTCTATAAAAGTCTATAATTTAAAGCATTAAAGTGCTTGAGCATGTTATCATTCAAAAACAAGCAAATTGTGCTAATAAGATTATTGTTATATTAAAAATGGTGCTAATTTGAGCCTTCTAAGAATACAAATGTACAGCTCATAAATGTTATGTTCTCATTAGTCACACACAGTAGAACATGACACAAAGTAGGTATTTTGTCTCTGTTAGAAACAAAACAGCTTGAGCGAACAAAAGATTGCACATCAATTCATCGGGGAAAAACTTGTCAGCTAAACAGAGTGGTTCCTATAAAAAAAACATTAGTGATAAAATGAAAAAAAAAAAAGAGATTGCCAGTGGAAAGGACACAAAAAGAAAACAAAACTCCATAGAGGAAAAACAAATGATCCTCAGCTGTGGTATTATTTCACATGAAACTTAGGAATCCAAAACATAGCAGTACCTGCTATATAGATAACCCTGTTTTAACAGGCAGTATGTTCCCCAATGCAGACCCAATGCAGGGAAGTTCTCTGTAGCCTGAAAGAAGAATTAATTTACATTGAGCTCTAACAATAACAGCTACAACTGTCATGGCAATGAATAAGTAAGAAACAACAGCTACAATTAAGTCAGTAGTAAATAAGACTATGCACATCTGCTACAGAAAACTGTGAGCTTGGAGTAGCATGCCAGCTTTCTTTTACTGGTGTCTGAAAATGGCTTCTTGGTAGGGACCTACTCAATTTAAGATTTTGCAGTTTCTGCAAAAACTGCAAATTTAGTAGTTTTCCCATGAACAATCCCAGTCCCTGCAAAACAGTGCAGGGACCATGAAAAAGCACAAAATCAGCAGCAACTGAGAGACAGAAGAAAAAAAAGAGAGAGCCACAAAAACAGAAGGGCAGAAAGCCCTGGAGTCTTGAAGCACTGGGCGGGAAGATTTTTGCGATGTGCCTGCCAATACTTCTGATTGGCTGAGGGGCCCTGGAAGTCCCACCCCTTCCTGGAGATTGACAGATGGCCACTTGTCAATCTCTGGGGAGTGGGCAGGAGGGTCCGCACACCTCTAATAGGCCAAGAGGCCCTGGAAGCCCCACCCCTCTCCATAGATTGACAGGCAGCCATCTTGGGGCAGAACTTCCAGGGAGGGACTCCTGGGGCCCCTTGGCCAATCAAAGTGTGTGTTGGGGGGTGGGGAGGCTGCAGTACTCTTCCACAAAAATGGCACCCAACGCTGCACCAGGATGGTGAAATATGGAGGTAGCCTTCAGAATTAGGTAGGTTAGACTCATTGGTCTTTCAGCTGGAATTTTATTTTAAAAATGAATTTTGTTATAGAGGTTTGAAAGCCAAGGAACAACCCCATCAGTGTGTTCA